GAATAAAGGCCTTCTGTAGTGAATCCATGCGTTTTTGTAAGAAAAATATCCATATTTCAAACGTAATAAACACTTTTCTCTCACTTCCGTTATCTTTCATAGGCGGAAGGCGTTCCGGTGGAAGGCGTATGAGATATGCTAGTCTCCAGTGTTGCCAACTTCTTTCAATAGAAAGTAGCTAAAGCCAGTTTGAAAAGTCGCTAAATGTCGCCAGATGAGTCACACGCTAATTAGCATATTCATGACTTCATCGTGTATGTTGCCTTTTACATTTGTTTGTCTCTCTGTGCTCACATACTGTAGTAGTTGTCTTGGTTTGTATTTATATATTTATATTTATGCATTTGACAAAAGAATGTATCCAAAGTCACTTACTTTGCATTTAAGGTATACATTTTATCGGTTCAAGTTTTCCCTGGTTAATGTTAATTTACAAAAATACTAAAGTGAACATGTTTTCGTATATGTAAAGAACATGAACCAAGATTACTAAATGCTGTAAAAGTATTCTTCATTCATAGTTGATGTTAACTATTAAAGGCAGAGTAAGTGATTTCTGGTAGCCAATGTTTATATTTGAAATCACCAAAACAAACACGGCCCTACCCCAAAAGGGTCTTGCCCCTATTTTGATAGCTCCGCCCCACATATACGTACGCAACCCAGGCAACGATTAGTTCTGTGAAACAAAGCAAAACCAATGTTACACCGTGTCTACGGACATGAGCGGTGCGGCGCGGTGCAACAAATCCCCGACAGAAAATTGCTGCCGGGTTCTATTTATGACGTGCTGACACAAATTTCAAATGGTTTTCAGCGGTCGTTGCGTCCAGTGTAGGCAGACTTTAGCTGTTGTAGACACGGTGTTACTCAGCTATTGAGAAGAAACAAAGCAACCTCTGCGTTCGATCGCAGGCCTCCGCTCCTTGAGTTCTCTCCAGCTCTGGAAAGCTGATCCGATATTTACACGGGTCCTACTTCTTGCCTTATCGTTCTGCAGACGTTTTCCTCTTTTGTTTTTTATCCGCCATCTCTATCTCTCTGTTGCTCGGCTCGGCTAATGTCCGTCCCATGCACTGAACGCGCTCTCCTCCACATCACGAGTAGACACGCCCCTTATTGCTGATTGGCTACAAGTTTATTTTGCGATTCGGCCCGAATCAGTTTTCTAAAGTGTTTTTGAAAAATCACTTACTCTGCCTTTAATGCAGCCAAATTCTCAATAAAACTGTTTTCATTTTTATATATTACTGTTTCTGTTGCCAGACAACAGAATAAATATGAAATAGTGACTAAAAAGCATAACTAGCTCTCCCTTCCAAGACGTTAATCTGAACAAAAATCCTGCTTTATATTTGAGCCATCGTCTGATGAAATGAAACGCACATAAGAAAAGACAAGACAAAGACAATTCCTGTGCTGTGATTTCGGCTATATTTGCATGTAAAATTAGAGAAGCAACATAATATCTATTTTAACTGAAGGCGCTGCTCCTCTCAGCCGCTCGCTGAACAGAGCAGACGCTGACCTCGCGCCGTTGCGTCAGTACCAGCGATCACAGAGACTCGCTGAGGTTTGTCCAAGAAGTCGCTAGATTTGTCGCTAGTCGCTTTTTTAGAAAAAAGTCGCCAGGGGGGTCTGAAAAGTCGATAAATCTAGCGACAAAGTCGCTAAATTGGCAACACTGCTAGTCTCGCGAGTTTGTTTATAGGAGCACAGGAAGCAAAGTTTCCTTACTTTAGCAAAGGAAAACCAGTCTCCTCTTGGTTTATATCGAAATCCTCTGACATTTTTCTTTGCAAATCTTCAGTTTGTACTTCTAATTCGTGACCGGCGTTTTGTTTTGTTGTCTCTCCGCATTCGTCACTAATCACGCAACGCCGACGTGCTACGTCATCCGCCGGCACGGCTTCCGCGTATGACAGATAACAGAAGTGATATAAAAGTGTTTATTACGTTTGAAATATGGATATTTTTCTTACAAAAACGCATGGATTCACTACAGAAGGCCTTTATTCACCCCCCGGAGCCGTGTGAAGCACGTTTATTATGAATGCGCGCTTTATTTGACGACTTGTGGACTGTTCAACTACAACACCCGCTGACTGCAATGATAGAGCTTGGAATAGCCAGGACAATTTTTAATATAACTCCGACTGGATTCGTCTGAAAGAAGAAAGTCATACACCTAGGATGCTTCGAGGGTGAGTAAAACACAAGCCCATTTTTCATTTTTGGGTGAACTAACCCTTTAATGTAGATTTGGAAAGACTATTCATAAGGCCGTTGTGATAAATAGTAAACACACGATTTGAGTTTTATTTAATCAGATCTTCATTACTATCATCACAGGAAATGCACTGTGTAGTTTCATTTAGAAAACACCACAAACTTTTAAAAGAGAAAGATTACATCAACATCTAATAACTATTTTTAACTACCATAGCAATAGAGTAGGCCTAATATTAAGGATCAGGGTTTGTCATCTTGAGTGGTGGTTCTCATTCCACTAATGTAAAGGTTTTACAGGTTCACATGTTCTTCAGTAACACTTGCTTTTGAACCACTGAGCTCTGGCGACGACATCATTGGCGTAATCATCTCCTGTGGTGCCGATGTCCATGCGCTCATATGTTTGGACGTTCTTCACACCTGCGTTGTAGGCTGATATTGCCCCTGAAACAGACATTATACTACAACTGAGATATGAAAGTTAAGCGATGAACGTCTATTTGCATTTAATTGTCTTTGTTATGCTATTTATGTTTATTTATCTCTCAGTGTAAACATACCTTTAAAGCATTGCTCTTGTGTCCACTTGGGAAATTTTCCTTTAACTTCTTTAATAAAGCCAATGAGTATCTCAGTAGCTTGTGTGACATGCTGCTCACTGTCCCATGTACCTGTTGGAGCGTGGTAGCGTTTGTCAACCTATAAGAAACATAATCAAAAAAGAAACATTTGAAATGTTCAGAAATATTGAGTGTACTCTGCTTATTATTTGCAACTTCTTGCTGGTATAAAAATGTTTTGCATGCGATATCTATAACAACTTTCGTTTACGAGTCAGCTTTAGTTATACTCAACACATTAAATCTTATCTCATGAGTCATGTGGTTTCTTACATTATATTTTGAAATAGAGTAAATCAGTTCTTCTGACCAACCTGCATGAGGCCAAAGCCATTGCCATGGTCGCCTCACCCATCCTTCAGAACGGCTCCAGCTCTGGACTCTCTAGATACGATGGCAGCAATCACAGCCGGGTCCATCTGCTTTGCTCTGCCAACTTTGATAATTATACTCTTGTATTTCTCCATCCGGGCCAGATCATTCTCAGCCAGCTTTTTAGAGGCTTCAACTCCTATGACAAGTTTAAACCATTGTTAATACATACTGTAACTGTGCATATTGCATATATTGGCAACTGGGATTTGAAGAGTGAAAAGTGATTTGTGTGCATGCATTCTCAACCTTTATGGTTAATTTGTCTTGTTTTGCTGTCCTCTCTGATGCACCGGTGGTGTCTATTTTCATGATGTCTCCATAAATGCATGCTAGAAACAACACGAAAAATATCACCTGAAGAAGCCCTTAAATATTTATACAGAAAATGTATGCAGTGCTACAGTATTACAAAATGACAATATCATAAAATCACCTGATATTATATAACTTACCCATGATGGTGATGCAGAACATAATTGCAATTATACAGTATTTTCAATCAAAATAATAAACATAAAAATAAACAGCAGTTATAAAATGTAAAATAATAATATATGATGTGATTGGATTATTTAATTGTAGTCTGCATGGTTTGTGAGTTATAAGCAATTAAGCGTAAAATTACTTATACTGCCAGCTAATGTCAGGCAGTTTTCATTGCGCTTGACTGAGAAATAGGTGAGATATGGGACCATCCAAATCTGATTTGTTTGTGTTTTACAGTTACTGTTGCCCAGGTATGTTTAGGACAGAAAAATGATAGGGCAACTGAGAAGTAAATGAAAGCATAGAAGGTTAAAACAGCTATGCTGCGTAGACCCCTAACTAGATAATTTTAATATGAATATGGGAAGACGATTTATGTGTTGAAAAAGACACATTTGAGTGAATAAATGCATTTTATTTCATCCCAACAAATAGAAAACAAAATATAGAACAGTGAACAATGATTAATTCAATTCAAGTTTATTTGTATAGCGCTTTTCACGATACAAATCGTTGCAAAGCAACTTTACAGCAAATTAAGTTTCTTCAATATTTAGTGGTAGCTTATCAGTGGTGACTGTCAGTTAATGTACATATGGCAGAAACGGAAAAATCAATTAAAGACGTAATCAAACAGACAATGAACACTATTAACAGCAATTATTAAATGATGCAATCAAACTTATAGCAAAATGTGGTAGTTCAATATGTTGTTTCAGGGTTGGCATCATCTGAGGTCCTCTGAGGGGTTGGCATCATCTCTTCTCAGGTGTTCTGGATCCAGACTGAAGCATGTGTAAATCCTAGTTACCACGGGATGTCAATCCCAGCAGAAACAGAGAAACAAATAGAGACATAATTAGCGTAGCTGCTGTTCCAACCAAGCAAAATGTATTTGTTTAACCCAAACTAAAGAATAATAATAATGTGCATTTGATCAGATATAACTGCAGTACAAGATTATGAGATGCATTATTTGAATGCTTGGCCAAAGAGATGTGTCTTTAATCTAGATTTAAACAGAGAGAGTGTGTCTGAACCCCGAACATTATCAGGAAGGCTATTCCAGAGTTTGGGAGCCAAATGCGAAAAAGCTCTACCTCCTTTAGTGGACTTTGCTATCCTAGGTACTACCAAAAGTCCAGAGTTTTGCGACCTTAGGGGGCGTGATGGATTGTAGCGTGGTAGAAGACTAGTTAGGTACGCAGGAGCTAAACCATTAAGGGCCTTATAGTCAAGTAATAATATTTTGTAACTGATACGGAACTTAATAGGTAGCCAGTGCAGAGACTGTAAAATTGGGGTAATATGATCATATTCTCTTGACCTGGTAAGGACTCTAGCCGCTGCAAACACTTGCCAAACACGCAGGTTCCATAACTCCAGCTTACGGTGCCATGTAGTGCCCATTGCTTGAGACAACAGGTCCCGTTAAGGGAATATGCCACGGGGCGAGTTGTTAGGAGTTCTATCTGCTCCAGAAACCATGGCTGGTTGGGCCAATTCAGCGCAACCAGAAGTACAGTCTCCTGTTCCTCCCTGATCTTGTGCAGCACCAATGGCATGATCTTGACTGGGGGGAAAAGCGTATTTGTGCTTTTTTGGCCAGCAGCTAGATAGCACATCCCCTTCCAGGGGGGCACTTGTCAGAAGAACAGGGGGCAATGCATGTTCTCCAAGGCAAACAAGTCGACCTCCGCTTCCCTAAACAGGCTCCAGATTAACTAGATCATTTAACCTCCATTCCCCGTGAACCGCACCAGCATGTCAGCATGACAGCATGTCCGCGCTGCAGTTTAGATGGCCGGGGAAATGGACTGACTGTATGGATGGATGGTTCCTGTCCATCCACAAGAGGAAAACTTCTGCCAGCCACTGTAGCGAGCGTAAACAAATACCCCCTTAGTGGTTGATGTAAGACACCACTGTCGTGTTGTCCATCTGAATAAGAACATGACGATTCTTTACCAATGGAAGGAAGTGCTGCAAAGCTAGAGACACGGCCTTCAGCTCTAGGCAGTTTATGTGCCACACTGACTGCACACTCGTCCAAGTGGCACAAGGCTGCGGAGATGGTATGTCGTTGCGAAGGGCTCGTCAGTCCATTAACAATGCATCTGTTGTCACAACTGACCACTCTGTCCATCGAAATCCCTTGTTCGTACGTTGTTCAGTTGAACCAGGGAGCCAGTGTACTAATACAGCCACAAGTCACTAAGACACGACCACGTGCTGTGTGGCAAAGACTTTCAGCTCATAAACAGAAGCTCAAAACCTCAAAACTGTGGCTGCAACCATCAGTCCCAGCAACCACTGAAAACACTTCAGAGGAACCGATCTCCTCAGTTTGAATGAGGCGAGAGTGCTCAGTAAAGACTGTACATGCTCCTGAGAAAGACGAACTTGCATTGCTCGCAAGAATAGGGTCATATCCAAGAACACAATGCTTTGTGTGGGATGAAGCATTCTTCTGCAATGGTCTAGAAGCTGAAGCTTGTGGCTTTCTAGCACATCCTGAAATTGAGCCATAAGCCAATAATCCAGATAGTTCAGCTTTGCATTTTGGAAAAGTTCTCGGACACAAAGCCAGCCCGAAAGGGAGGACTTTAAACTGATACGATAAGACAGGGCTATCTGGAAAGGAAAATAAGCATCTTTTAAATCCACTGAAACAAACCAGTCCCCGGGCTGAATATCTGGATCTGCTTCATGGTGATCATTTTGAATGTACACTTTGCCAGCGCGCAATTTAGAGGTCTCAAAACGAGGCAGAGACCATCGTCCCTTTTTTGGGACTAGGAAATCGCAGCTGCACAGACTGCTTTCCCTGTGCTCCTGTGGCACTCTCTCTATCACAACCCGTTCTCATCAGTTGCTCTATCACCTGTTTTGCCAGGAGAGAGTGGATCTCTGCTTGCAAATCGGGCGTGCCCCGATCTGGCAAGTGGGGTGGTCTGCATGCAAACTGAAGTGTATAAGCGCTCGTGATCATACTCAACACCCTACGTTGACATCTGCACAATCTGGACCACCAGAATTGAGAATGAGATAACGGACAGGGCTTACACCCTGCATAAGAGAGTAAGAGTGAGGAGGAAAAAAGCACCGATGTTGAGACATGTTTGGTTTTGTTTTTTATAGTGAACTTTTTTATTGGCAACAAAGAACCCAAACATTTAACGAGTCTGTTACCTGCATCATGCAAGGGAACAGATGGGTGCAACACAGCAAGGTGAACTCTCTTGCATATTGGCTCTTCGTCCATTTTGCCATAGCAATCAGGAACAAGGCTGGGACCTAATATATCGAGAGACCGACTCGAAAGTTCACAGAAACTTCTGCAGCCGTGCTACAGAAAACTGATAGAAACACTGATGTGAACAGTAGTTGCTATAGAAACAATACATCGTCTTGTCTAAACCACATGAACCACATTGTGGTGTCAAAACCACATAGAACCCATTATAATATTATAAGCTTATATTATTCCATCTGCAGAGTCTGCATGCAGACCCTGACAGTAAGCACAGCATTCGCTTCCAGTGTAACACGGTGTTAGAATGTTGCCAATATTCTTTTGCAAGTAGTTACAATGTTTAATATTTCTGTTACCTGCATCATGCAAGGGAACAGATGGGTGCAACACAGCAAGGTGAACTCTCTTGCATATTGGCTCTTCGTCCATTTTGCCATAGCAATCAGGAACAAGGCTGGGACCTAATATATCGAGAGACCGACTCGAAAGTTCACAGAAACTTCTGCAGCCGTGCTACAGAAAACTGATAGAAACACTGATGTAAACAGTAGTTGCTATAGAAACAATACATCGTCTTGCCTAAACCACATGAACCACATTGTCGTGTCAAAACCACATAGAACCCATTATAATATTATAAGCTTATATTATTCCATCTGCAGAGTCTGCATGCAGACCCTGACAGTAAGCACAGCATTCGCTTCCAGTGTAACACGGTGTTAGAATGTTGCTAATATTCTTTTGCAAGTAGTTACAATGTTTCAGCTCATCTTTATGTGACTCTTTGGTGTAAACTCACCCTAAACAAATACCCTCTTTCCAAAATACTGCTTCCTGCACCCACCAATGTTCTCTGAATGCAATGTTCTCTGTGAAACGTTGTTCTACTACAGTGTCATGTGTGAGTGCAGGATTAGGCTCAACATCGCCCTCTGTCGTGGAGAACAAGAAGCGGTTTCATGATGTGTTTGCGTCTACTTGGAAGCAATAAATGAGGTTATTTTATTGTGAATTTGGAAGGACTGTTCCTAAGGTAATTGTGATAAATAATAGACACATGATTTGAGTAAATAAATGAATTTTATTTAATAAGATCTTCATTACTATCATTACAGGAAATTAATAACAGCTGCAGTATCATTAACATGGTCATATTTTGAAAACTCAAACTCTTAAATGGCTTGAAAGATTATATTAGCAATCTAATATCTATATTGAACTAACTATACCACTACCATAGGCCTAATATAAAAAAATGAAGACTCAAAATCTTGAGTTGTTGTACTCATTCCACTAATGCAAGGGTTTTACAGGTTCATAGGCTATATGTTCTTCAGTAACCCTTGCTTTTGAACCATTGGGCTCTGGCGACGACATCATTGGAGTAGTCTTGTCCTGTGGTTCTGGCATCGATATTCTCATATGAACCGACTGTACTCACACCTGCGTTGTAGGCTGATATTCCCCCTGAAACAGACATTATACTACAACATGAGATTTAAGTGATGGACTTCTATTTGCCTTTATTTATCTCTTTTTCATGCTATTTATGTTTATTTATTTATCACATTGTCGTGTCAAAACCACATAGAACCCATTATAATATTATAAGCTTATATTATTCCATCTGCAGAGTCTGCATGCAGACCCTGACAGTAAGCACAGCATTCGCTTCCAGTGTAACACGGTGTTAGAATGTTGCCAATATTCTTTTGCAAGTAGTTACAATGTTTAATATTTAACTAACTATACCACTACCATAGGCCTAATATAAAAAAATGAAGACTCAAAATCTTGAGTTGTTGTACTCATTCCACTAATGCAAGGGTTTTACAGGTTTTAGGCTATATGTTCTTCAGTAACCCTTGCTTTTGAACCATTGGGCTCTGGCGACGACATCATTGGAGTAGTCTTGTCCTGTGGTTCTGGCATCGATATTCTCATATGAACCGACTGTACTCACACCTGCGTTGTAGGCTGATATTCCCCCTGAAACAGACATTATACTACAACATGAGATTTAAGTGATGAACTTCTATTTGCCTTTATTTATCTCTTTTTCATGCTATTTATGTTTATTTATTTATCTATCTATCGTAAATGTTATTGTAAACCTACCTTTAAAGCATTGCTCTTGGGACCACATAGGAAATTTTGCTTTCATTTCTTTAATGAAGCTAGTGAGTATCTCAGTAGCTTGTGTGATATGCTGCTCACTGTCAAATGTACCTACTGGAGTGTGGTAGCGTCTGTCGACCTAAAAGAAACACCATCAAAGAAGAGAACAATTAGAAATGTTCACAAATATTTAATGTACCATTTTTGCTTACTTTGCAACTTCTCCTTGTTTTGCATGATACATCTGAGACAATTTATTCTCAATGCCTGAAATTATGACTCATGTGTTCTCTTATATTATTATATTTTGAAATTCCTCTAACCAACCTGCATGAGGCCAAAGGCATTGCCATGATCACCCCATCCATCCTCTAGAGCGGCTCCAGCTCTGGACTCTCTGGATATGATGGCAGCAATCACAGCCGGGTCCATCTGCTTTGCTCTGCCAACTTTGGTGATCATGCTCTTGTATTTCTCCATCCGGGTCAGATCATTCTCAGCCAGTTTTTTGGAGGCTTCAACACCTTTTCAAGATTAAATCGTTGTTATAATTATATTACATATTGCTATATATTGATATCATTTGTATGCAGTCATGCATTCTCACCATTTACGGTTAATCTGTCTTGATTTGCTGTTGCCTGTGATGCACCGGTGGTGTCTATTTTCATGATATTTCCAAAAATGCATGCTAGAAACAACATGGAAAATAACATGTCAGTAAATCATTTATACAGAATATTTATACAGTGTTACATATCACAAATTGCTACTCAATATTCAGACAATATCATAAAACACAGTCAGCACCTGATGTATTAATTATATTATATAACTTACCCATAATGTTGACTTAGAACTGCTGTGAAAGAGCAAATCTTGAAAGAGCTTGATGAGCCTTGTCACTAAATCAGGACGTGATTATATATGATTGCAGGAGGAGTGGTTTCTCTTTTTTCCAGATGTTCTTCCACTATAGTGTGGAGAAGTGAAAGGTTACAACATTTGCAGCTGTGAAGGTTGCAAGATTTAGAAGCCTTTTTTATAAAGGATTTTTCAGGTAGGCTTCATACACCTCAAGAAGGTATAACCACTTTTGATGAATGTAAGGAAAAAAATGGAAAAATGTTAGCAATGTAAAAGCATGCCAAATTTAAACTTTTCTGATCAAATGGTTGTATGACTTTTTAGTTATGGGCCCTAATAGCCCAAATTTGACAGCCATCTCTGAATTTCTGAATAGAAGTACTATAATCTGTTTCCACTCAATATATTTTATTTGGAAAAATGTCTTTTCTATTTATTTATATGAGGCAACTGCATTACAAACATTTTGTAATATATGTGTATATGGTCTACAATTGTATTAATACCGAAATTATGTAAAACAGTGTTTTCAGACAAACAAACAAATAAATTAATAAAAATTAGACATTTATAAAATATAAAACAATAAATGAGTTAAAAGGCTAAAAGTAGCCTAATGTTATAATCTGTTAACTATAATCTGTTATAATAAATGAAGCTGTCTACACAGTGAAATGAATCTTACTCAGGCTACGTCGTACGTACATCTGCACTTTGTTGTCTTTGATGAAAGAATTCGCCAGAGCGCAGTATGCAGTCAGCGCGCACTGACAAAACTCGGGCGTTTCAGCGATGACTCATCTTAACGCCTCTGATTGGCCATCACATTCATAAACTCAACGGAATCGCATGTGATTGGTTATAATGAGCAACACTGTGTGTATATATACATAGTGACGGCTGTCTCGAATAAAGTGGAAGTGAAATTGAAATGAATGCACAATAGCCTACACTTTTCATTTCAATTTCACTTTCACTCCATTCGAGACAGCCGTAATACATTTAATCCACACTTTTCATTTCATTTTCACTTTATTGGTGACAGGCAGCCGTATTTAGTTTAATTGTGTAGGCGGAGGGTAGAAATCAAGGCTAAAAGTATATAGCAAACTGCTATAACAACGCACATCACAAACCCGTTGTTTTAGGCAAGTAGGCCTAGATAGGGTGTCTGTCATAAAATCATTTTAATACGACTGAATTTGTATTTAACGTGATCACAATTTAATTTAATAATGTAGCCTAATTTCATTTGAACAGTTTGAATAATTTCCACGTTTATTCAAACGGCGAATAAATGTTCATTTTAGCCCTAGTTCAAACATTCTCGAAAAACTCCCTTTGTAATCAATGAAACTAGGAACGGAAACTCTTACTTACATCGTAGATCTGCACTCACTCGTGTGGGCTACTGGTCATCGGGACTGGAGCAGCGGGGCTTTCAAGGTGGGCAGGGCGGTTAGTGGACTGATCGCCGAAACGAGATGGACCACCCCTATTAGGCGCTGTTTACTGGAGCGCATGGGGAACTCCAAAAAGACTATTCATTAGATTTATGTGTTACATGAAAGACATGATGTGAGTGAGTGAATAAATTAGTTTTATTTAATCCCAACAACTACAAAACAAGATACAGAACAATTATGGTAAGAACAAACAAAAAGTAGGCTTTTAACTGCTGTTCTTCAGTAGCCTAACCCTTATATGTATTTTATATGTTTTGTAGATGAGGAATGAGACACCAGGGGCAAGTTCAAGCTCAAACCGGTGTGCACCGTTTTGCTACGGTTTCCGGTTTGAACGACATGTTTCCTGGAAACGGTGTGCAACAGGGTTTGAGTTACGTTTTCTCGTGTTTGGTGGGTGTGTCAAACATGTCAGCCCAATCAGCAGCAACATGTATGTAAACCACGCGGTATTAAAGAGACAGCTCGCACAATGTAATTTTATATGGACAATGTTTTTTTTTATTTGGTTCAATCCAATCCGGTTCAATCAGAGATTGTCTTACTATTCATTTTATTTTTCCCGTAAGAGCGGGCAGGCCATTGGTCAATTTTATGTGTCTGGCTTCTGGTGTCATCCGCTCCCAGCTATTTTTAGCTGTACAAAACAATTCGTTTTGCTGCTTGATATTGCGTGTGTCTTATAATATTATTTGAATGTATTCAGTGTATTGTATGTACCTTAATTATGAACACACTGGTTTGTAGTGCAAACAGTTTTACCGTTT